CAAACAACTCATATATAAAAAATCTCTCATGTCTAATTAAGACTTCGATATTATTGTTTGAAAACGGGTTTAATCACACAATAGTAGTACAATAATATGAAACTCGTGTAAGGACGCGGGAAATATTTTTAATGGGATCAAAACAAATCGTATATATTATTTGCTTTGATAGTAGAAACGACAATAATAATAATTATTTTTAAGATGACGAAATATTATTACGAATGTTAATATTTGCATTAAAAAAAATATATGCTGTATTTAGTTTATTAATTTATTTGATGCTTAACTGTTAATATAAATTTTGTAATTTTACTTAAATTGGTGTTTAGTTCGGGAAATTTTAAAATTTATTCCATTGAGTACTCGATTTGGAAAATATCATGGTATCGTCCAAATAGTTTGGTATCCGAAACATAATGACATCAAGAATATTTTGCACTACATTTCAAACATTGACAAGTTTTTTATTCGAGTTGAAGCACTTTAAGGTCGGAATATACGCTCCGTGCTATTTAAAGCGCAAGTTTATAAACTTTTTATGCTTTGGATGAACACAGATCTTTACGCAATAGATTTCTTTCTGCTAACCGTTATATTCAGATAGACAACGAACTCTTTTTCTAGAATTCTTTTTGTATAATTAATAATACACGACCAAAAATACCACAATATACCAAACAATAATTAATACCTTTAACATAATTTTTTGTACTTTTAATTTACACAATTATGCAATATATTACACAAAAGTGAGCATCAAAATAGACCAAGTAAATTAATACTGTAAATTAAGCAAATGTACAAAGGCTATATACAATATTACGTATATCTATTAATTTTTGTTGTTTTTAAAAAAAAAATTATCGTACAATATATGACATTGAAAGTTATCCACATGGTTGAAAGTTATCCGCATGGTTGAAATAAACCAATTGACAAACGACGAGGTTTCAGGTGTATTCTTAAAAAGGATTACCAAATGGTACGAGAAAGTATGAGAAAATTCTATAAATTTCTCGCGATTTCTTTAGATATTTTTCAGTCAAAAAAAAATGTCATTAGTCACAAGAGGATCAGATAATACTCAAATCAGCTGTGCAATTAAAGCAAGTAATGAACTTGTAAAGAATTTACACCGTGATGGATTAGATCGTGGGTGCATCGCGACATTTAATAGTAGAATGATTGTGAGACAGGTAAATGGATGTTTCGCATTAATATGATTTATATTATAATTTTTTAACGCACATCCCTTTTTTATTTATTTATCAGAATTTTACTAGAGATGAAACATCACTCTATCGTTCTCTTAACGGGTTAAGGAACTATGTTAGTGGTACCACTCGTCTTTATGATAGTATTGTTGACATCATAAAAACCTTTCACAGTAGCGGTGACCGTAATCGCCCTTGGATTTTGGTTGTGGTAACTGATGGTGATGACACTGGCAGTACTCGCAGTTTACTTTCTTGTGCTGGAGAAATATCACGCTTATTTACTAAAGATTCTAGTAACTTTTTGTTTCTTGTTGGTGTCGGTGACGATGTGAATTCAACAAAGATGGAACAGGTATTGATTTATTCAAATGAGTTTTCTCATTGTAAACGTATATCGAGCCGCACTGATTAAGTATGTTACCTGGTATTCATATGATATTTTCATATTACGAACAGGTATTACATATTTATGTCCTTGTAAAAATACTCTTTATACTTTATCGATCGAAATTTAATCAATACTTTTTTTTGATATTTTAAAAAATTAATCTTTAATATTTTTAAAA